GTTTTCTGGACAAGAACTGAGTGTTGAAAGCAGGAAAAAGTTTATACATGATAAACTTTCAGCATCTGCGTGGAAACCATGATGCCTAAAATGAGAGTGAAGGACAGAGAGAGAGAGAGAGAGAGAGAGAGAGAGAGAGAGAGAGAGAGAGAGAGAGATAAGGTGGCTGCCATAAAAGCAGCCTGGGCCAGGCAGTGGTTTGAAGGGGGTGGGAGGTAAACTGGGAACACTTGTACTGTTAAATTACACCGGTGGAGGGATGAGTGTTAGAACGTTATATGACTGAAGTGCAATTTATAAGTAATTTTGTAATGATCTATATCACTATGATTCAACAAAAAGAAAAAAAAGAAAAAAAAAGAAAATCCATTTTCGGAATTTGTATATTTAAAGTAGCCTAGTTATTAGAGTTTTGTTTGTATGGGAGTGTGGGACATGGAAATGCTAAGGGGTTCCTTGTGATTTCTGTTCATGAGGGTCATTCCTGTAGACCACGGAGCGAAATGGCCCAAACCTGGTTTTGCAACATGCAAAGTTCAAGTTTCAACCCATTGAGCTATTTCTTATCCTATATCAGTCTCATTACTTAAAATTAGTTGACTACATACCATTGAAATTTCTATAAAATCTCCAAGATAAAATCAGAAAGGTCAATGTACAAGGTAAAGCATTTTAAGGCAATATGCTGCTCTCACTGCATCAAAACCTGTGATACTTGTGCAACGAGAAATCTAACAGTCACCAGTGGAGTCAATTTATCTAAAGTTTTCTCAAGGATTTTCTCATACATAAAAATAGGAACCCCAAGCACAAAAATTTGTAAGTCTACAACTGTACCTCATGGTATATCACTAATAAAACTTTTTTAAAAAAAAGACAATAAACAAAAATAAGAACAGTTCAAATTTGCAAATTCTTTTTCTGTTAAAATTAATATTTGTGAATGTAAAATTTTTTACAACCTTTTGTCCAATTATTGTGGAATTATGACAATATCCTAAAAACCATTAACTCATTATTAGCTGCAAAACAGTAATCATGATCAATTTGATCTTTGTTTTTCATTTATTGGTCTTCACTAGTGTATAGTCTTCACTAGTGTATAAAGGTGATTATTAACTTTTCAAATCTCAAGATGTTCAGAAAAAAAATATGAATGTTTATTTTTGCCTTATTTTCCAACTTCTGGAATAAAACATTATTACTATGGCCTTCCAAGTTAGCTTAAACTTTTTTTTAAAAGGTTAGTTCATCATCAGAAAATTATGAATTTTTATTTATTCAATCAGTTGCAGCTAATGACAGAGATGAATCCACGTTGAAGATTAAATTATGCAAAATTTGACCAGTGTTTCTCTCTTCTAACTGAGCTCAGAATGTTTCTTATATGCTCATTAATCTTTGAATGCTTCTCTTTATTTGGGGACAAAACTTTGATCCAGTTTCTCTGTATTCCAACCCTGACCACTACATAAAATCAATTTTTTCTATGAACATTTGATATCTTTACTGGAAATTAGGTTTTAAATGCAAAAATTGTATAACTGGTCTAAAATGGTTCATTAGTGATGAAAGCACTTAGACTTAGGGTCTACTGATATAAATTTCTCTAAAACAGCCATGACATTTTATTTGGTTTTTTTAAAAATTGATCTTATTTTGATTGGGGGGCACACCTGGCTGTAACCAAGACTTACTTTTGACTCTGTGCTCAGGGAACACTCCTGGCAATACTCTAGTGACCAACTGTGGTGCAGAGATAGAACTAGGGTTTACTGTGTGCAAGGTAAACTCCTTAATCCCTGGACTTTCGTTATGGCTTATGTGCCTTTTAAATGCACTGGTCTTTCACTTAATCACTTAAGTGTTTAAGTGACACTACCTCCACTACCCAGACGCACTGGTCTTTAATGTTTCATAATATCTTGAATTAGCTGGAATCATAGAAAGGTGAATGATATTTGAAGACAACCAGTATGATGACATTAACTTGCTTTCACTTGTCATTAAACTTGAAATCAGTGACAAGGCTCTGGAAGTCTTAAGTAAACATTCAGTTTATGGTTGGGCACAAAGCTCTTTTTGGTGATGTAACTTATATTATTAGTAGTAGCCAGTGTGAGGGCTTGAGGAGGCTTGGTCACACCCAGCACAGTTCTGAGGACTCATTGGCTGCACCTGGGGAGCTTTCAGTTGTTAAACTTATTGAAAGATTTTGCCACTGTTTTGTGTCTAAATATATTTAGCAGGAGAACACCTAATGCAAGTATACAGCCCATAGCCATATACTGGGATATAGTACACCTAAAATACATTCTCCTAAATTTAATCGGAATGATTTAATCATACTTCCCTTGACCCTTACAGTCCTCCTCTCCACTGAGTCTTATCTGAATGTTTCAGAATTTTTGTTCTTGCAGCAGTTGTTTTCAACAGGACTCCATGGAGTTTGAACTGGTACGAACTCAGCGTATGTACAAGTGTAAACAGACAATTGGGGATTTCCCCACAGTGAAATAGACACGTGATTTCCCCACTGATTTCTCTTCCCAGTGACTGATGTGGATCCGGGCTCTTCTCTGATGTCTAAATTGTCCCCCAATAAGATCCTTGCTTCCTACTTTAGCTTTACCAACTTTATGGTATGAAAGGGAAGGGTATTCCTAATTCACAAAACATGGAGAGTAGATTCTACACTTTTATCTCATTCTTTCAAAGGTTTGAGCATTTGTGGAAGTTTGCTTATTTTCTCAAGAAACACTTTGCTTCACACTGTGATTTAGATATAGATTTGTCTGACACTGTGGCACTGTCCTCCCGTTGTTTATCTATTTGCTCGAGCGGACACCAGTAATGTCTTCATTGTGAGACTTGTTGTTGTTTTTGGCATAACGAATATGGCATGGGGAGCTTTCCAGGCTCTGCCATGTGGATGTGATACTCTCCGTAGCTTGTAGGGCTCACCGAGAGGGGTGGAGGAATCAAAACTCTGTGGACCACGTGCAAGACAAATGCCCTACCTGCTGTGATATCGCTCCTGCTAGGATTTGTCTGATGTAAAATGTATTTTGTAATTGTGGAAATCATGATTATATAAACATTACTAGGTTATTCAGTACTGTGAAATTATAGAAAAATAAACAAACACAGTTATTCAATGCATTATCAATAACATCAGTGACAGATTTCTATATTACCTGCTTGGAAGAATTGATTTATATCACGTGTCTCTGTAAAGTTCTAACTACCTATATCTTGGAAGAACTTCAGTTTGTAAGCAGTGAAAGGACTACTGATAATGCTAAAGTTGCTAGACTATAATGGCTAGGTAAATTATTAATTCATCTAAATATAGTACTCCTAATTTTATGAAGAAAGTCAAATCACATTAAATACCAGAGCATCTTGAAATTCATATATTGTAGAGCAATTTAATATAAGGTTAGGGGCCAGAGAAATAGTGTAGCAGTGAGGGCACTTTGCATGCAGTCAGGCAGCATCTCAAATGGTCCCCCGTATAAGATTCGATCCCCTGCATCTCATATGGTCTCCCAAGTCCACAGAAGTGATCCCTGACCACAAAACCAGGAGTACATTCTGAACACAGAATGGTGTCTCCCATAAGTGGCCAAGATATTTTATTTTATTTTATTTGCAAATTTTATACATTTTATTTTCATAAAGTAGTTCACAATAGATCATTAAACATAACATTCAAACACTCAACCCTACAGCGAGCAACTGCCCACCACATTATGAGGGAAGGTTTGAAGCTTGTTGTATTTCATTCTGAAACAGTATAAGTCCATATATAGAAGAATACAAGCAAGTATGTTAAAACCAAACAAATCTGTGCTACTTTAGGCACATTAATGAGCTTAGAGTATAAAGGTCTCATGGCCATGAATGCGGCCCCATGCTCCAGGGATCTTTATTTTATAGTCTCTGGTTCTAGGCCTTTGATGAGACTACACGGTGCTGGGAGCAGTTTCCGGGTGTGGCTGTCAAGCTACTGGAAAACTGGCGACCTGGGGAGAGAAGGGTTAGTCCCAATCCGAGCAGGCCTGAAGACCTCAGCCAGGGTCCTGCGTACCAGGGTTCCTCTGCCAGTTCCTTTATGGGTGAGGCTCATCTGAGCGTGTGGAGAGTGGCCTTGAGTATGGCTGCGGTTGGGTTCTGGAGGTTGTCGTCTGCCAGGGCTCTGCTTGGGGTGGGTAGGGAAACTCAACCCTTTCCAACAGATGCCCCAGTAAGACAGCCTGGAGAGGGGTCAGGAGACTCTGCGTCACTCTCTTCTGGGAGTATTATTTTATAGTATCTGTATGTGTGGCCAAGATATTAGAGAAATATAATATAAAAATAATAAAAAATACTAATTTCAACCCACATGCAATTATAAGCATATAATTAATGAAGAAGTAATAAAAACAAAACCAGTAAACTTTGATAACAAAAAGTTTACTTAAGGATTTCAAGGTGGCAATAGGAAAAAGAAGAGATACTAAAACAAGTAAATTGGTGGGATTTTCTTGCAGCAATGCAATTTTATTTTCAAACAAAACAAAATTACAAAAAATAGTGCTAGTGAATTAGAATCCAATATACAGTTAATTTTTATAGGCTCCTAAGGAAGTAGTTATATACTAATTAAAAAAACGAGAAAGTTATAGTAACTAGAATGTGAATTATTCATGTCCGAGTCACCTGGTTATTAAAGAATGTCACATACTTTCAAGAAACATTTTATTTAAAAATTAGCTTTGTGTGACTTTTGGAACCAGTCTACTAATGCCGTTAAAGAAATATACATAAACAATAATAGAATTTTGATTCTATGAAATATTATGAAAGAAATATAAGAAATAAGGGAATTTTCAAAACCCTATGAACTTTGATGTTTACTGAGGGACCTGTAAAATTTACTAAGTTCCTGCCAAGTCCGAGTTAGGGTCACAGCCGGTAAATTCTAATGAAACAAATACAAGTCTGGAGAGCACAACTGTAGTGTTCCTATGACTATCCCCTGGGAATAGTTAACATGCACTTGATGACCATCGTCTTTCTCACTGTGTGGGCTTCCTGTGCCCAAGGACAAGGTAAGTTGAAAACAGATATAAAAATAGGTAAGAATACTATAATACCTTATTATTTATTTACATGTATCTAAAACTTGAAGGTATTGAGGGAGCAGAGACCTCTTTTTAAACTAATAATGGAGATTATATTTGTAAGAAACATATCTCATATTTATGCCAGGGGAGTGTCACATACCTTATGTATTCTCTTGACTTCCACAGCATGAAACACTACTTAAAAATTTTGTTTGTTTTTGCATGGTTGGGAGGCACACCCTGTGATTCTTTTTTTTTTTTTTTTTTTTTTTGTTTCAGGGTGATTGATGCAAAGCCACTCACTCTTTATTTTGAGTCTTTTGGGAAATAAGTAGTACATTAACATTTTTTACAGTACAAAATGACTTTGATGTTTTGGTTTTTGTCCATAATTAAACAGTAGGGTTAGAGACATAGGACAAGACTAAAGGGTCGACATCTTACCTTGCATGCTGTGGACCCTTGCACTACATATAGTCCCCTGAGACCTTCCAGGAGTGATCCCTAAGCACAGAGCCAGGAATAGTCCCTGGGTACCACAGGGTGTGACCCAAAAACAAAAAGAATTGCACTACATATCTAAGTTCTTTCTAGAAGAAAATGTTAAGTATTCCTAATATCATGGAGCTACATAGTGCTTCTTTCTTACTACTACAAATTATGATGTTTACTCAATGTTATAGCTTTTATTTCCTTTATTTTATTTTTTATTTTTATTTCCTTAATTTTTAAAAATTTTGTGCCACATCTGGTAGTGCTTAGGGGTACTTCCTGGTGCAATCTTTTTTTTTCTTTTTTTTATTAGTGAAAAACCATGAGGTACAGTTATAGGCTTACAAATTTTGTGCTTGGGTTTCAGTTATACAATGATCAAGTCCCCATACCTCCACCAGTGCCCGTCATCCATCCCCATGGGTCCCAGCATCCCCCCCATCCTCATCCCCCCCCCCCGTCCCATCCTGCCTCTGTGGCAGGGTATTCCCCCTTGTTCTTTCTCTCTTCTTTTGGGTACTGTGTTTTGCAAGAGAGGCTTTGAGTGGCAATCATGTTTGGTCTATCGACTACTTTTAGCATGCTTCTCCCACCCTGGGAGGGCCCTCACAACACCCTTCATTTGGTACTCTCTTCTCTATCTGAGCTTCCTTTTCACCTAGAGCCTGTGGCTGGCCTTCCATTCATGGAGCAAAATTCCTGGTACTAATCTCAGCCATTCCTGTGTGTCACTCTCCCTTTTTGTTGCTTTATGTTCCCCAGATGAATGCAATCTTTCTGTGTCTATCCCGCTCTTTCTGACTCATTTCGCTTAACATGATACTTTCCATGTAGTACCACTTGTATGTAAATTTCATAACTTCATCTTTTCTAACAGCTACATAGTACTCCATTGTGTAAATGTACCAAAGTTTCATTAACCAGTCATCTGTTCTTGGGCACTCAGGTTTTTTCCAGATTCTGGCTATTGTAAAGAGTGCTGCAATGAACAAACAATTGCAGATGTCACTTCGACTATACCTTTTTGCCTCTCTGGGATATATTCCCAGGACTGCTATAGCTGGGTCATATGGCAGATCAAATTCTAATTTTTTGAGAGTCGTCCATACTGTTTTCCAAAAGGGTTGGACCAGCCGGCATTCCCACCAGCAGTGAAGGAGGGTCCCTTTCTCGCCACATCCACGCCAGCACCGGTTGCTTTTGTTCTTGTGGATGTGGGCTAGTCTCTGTGGTGTGAAATGATATCTCATTGTGGTTTTGATCTGCATCTCTCTGATGATTAGTGATGTAGAGCATTTTCTCATGTGCCTTTTTGCCATTCGAATTTCTTCTTTGCGAAAGTTTCTGTTCATTTCCTCACCCCATTTTTTGATGGGGTTGGGTGATTTCTTCTTGTGGAGTTTAACCAGTACCTTGTATATCCTTGATATCAACCCCTTGTCGGATGTGTACTTGGTGAATATCCTTTCCCATTCTGTAGGCTGTCTTTGTATTTTGGTCACTGTTTCTTTGGAGGTGCAGAAGCTTCTTAGTTTAAGATAGTCCCATTTGTCTATCTCTGTTTTCACTTGCTCGGCCAGTGGCGTGACATCTTTGAAGATACCATTAGCTTCAATATCATGGAGAGTTTTGCCGACTTTGTCTTCAATAAACATTATGGATTCTGGTCTGATGTTGAGGTCATAAATCCATTTTGATCTTACTTTTGTGCATGGTGTTAGGCAGAGATCTGAGCCCACTTTTTTGCATGTAGCCGTCCAATTTTGCCAGCACAGTTTGTTGAAGAGGCTTTCCCTGCTCCATTTCACTTTTCTTGCCCCCTTATCAAAAATTAGATGATTATATGTTTGGGAGGAAATGTCAGTATATTCAACTCTGTTCCATTGGTCTGCAGCTCTGCTTTTGTTCCAGTACCATGCTGTTTTAATTATTACTGCCTTGTAGTAGAGTTTGAAGTTAGGGAGGTTGATTCCTCCCATTTTCTTTTTCCCAAGAATTGCTTTAGCTATTCGTGGGGGCTTATTGTTCCATATAAATTTCAGGAGTGTTTGCTCCATTTCTTTGAAGAATGTCATGGGTATCCTTATAGGGATTGCATTGAATTTGTACAGTGCTTTGGGAAGTATTGCCATTTTGATGATGTTGATTCTCCCCATCCATGAACAGGGGATATTTTTCCATTTCCTCGTGTCCTCTTTTATTTCCTGAAGTAGCGTTTTGTAGTTTTCCTTGTACAGGTCCTTTACTTCCTTAGTTAAGCTGATTCCTAGATACTTGATTTTCTGGGGCACAATTGTGAATGGGATTGTTTTCTTGATGTCACTTGCTTCTCTTTCACTATTTGCGTATAGGAATGCCATGGACTTTTGGGTATTGATTTTATAGCCTGCCACTTTACTATACAAGCCTATTGTTTCTAGGAGTTTCTTGGTAGAGGTTTTAGGGTTCTCTAAGTATAGTATCATGTCATCTGCGAATAGTGAGAGCTTAATTTCTTCTTTCCCTATCTGGATGCCCTTAATATCTTTTTCTTGCCTAATCGCTATTGCAAGTACTTTCAGTACTATATTGAACAGTAGTGGAGAGAGTGGGCATCCTTGTCTCGTCCCTGACCTTAGGGGGAAGGGTCTCAGTTTTTCCCCATTGAGGATGATGTTTGCTGTAGGTTTGTGGTAGATGGCTTTAACTATATTGAGGAAAGTCCCCTCTATCCCCATTTTGGCAAGGATTTTCATCATGAATGGGTGCTGGATCTTGTCAAAAGCTTTCTCTGCGTCTATTGATATGATCATATGATTTTTATCTTTTCTTTTGTTGATATGATGGATTATGTTGATTGATTTCCGAATGTTGAACCATCCTTGCATCCCTGGGATGAATCCCACTTGGTCATGATGTATGATCTTTTTGATGAGTTGTTGTATTCTATTGACTAGTATTTTGTTGAGAATCTTCGCATCTGTGTTCATCAGGGATATTGGCCTGTAGTTTTCTTTTCTTGTGGTGTCTTTGTTTCCTTTTGGTATTAGAGAGATATGGGCTTCATAGAAGCTGTTTGGGAGAGTTTCTGTTTTTTCAATTTCCTGTGATTCTTAGGGACAAATTCTAACTCTACATTCAGGAATCAATCCTGATGATGCAAGGGATCAACCCCATGTCATCCACATGTCAGGCACACACCCTAACCACTGTACTATCACACTGAACCCCACAACTACATAACATTTTGGCGATATAAAAATACGCTTACAAATTCTTTAGATATATGTCTCAAAATATGTACTTCATTCAAACTGTATTAAGGTTGGTTCTTGTGTGAATACTCTTCCTGTTGTGGGCGAGAGGAAAGAACAACTAGAAGAATTCGAAAAATGCCTGGAGAGCTGCAAACTCGCTCTGGCAGGGCAGGGCGAAGAAGAGTCCAATGGCCTCTTTATTTTTTTAATTTTTTATTAGTGAAACACCATGAGGTAGAGTGGTAGACTTAAAAATTTTGTGCTTGGGTTTCAATTATACAATGATCAAGTTCCCATCCCTCCACCAGTGCCCATTTTCCACCACCACGGGTCCAGTGTCCCTCCCACCCCCCATCCTCCCCATTCTACTGTGCCTCTGTGGCAGGGCACTCCCTTTTGTTCTCTCTCTCTTCTTTTGGGTCCTGTGGTTTGCAAAAGAGGCAGTGGGTGACAATCATGTTTGGTCTATAGTCTACTTTTAGCATGCTTCTCCCATCCTGGGAGGATCCTCCCAACACCCTATATTTGGTGCTCCCTTCTCTATCTGAGCTCCCTATTCCCCTAGCACATGTGGCTGGCCTCCAAGTCATGGAACAAAATTCCTGGTACTAATCTCGGCACTCCTGGGTGTGAGTCTCCTATTTTGTAACTTTTTGTTCCCCAGATGAATGCAATCTTTCTATGTCTATCCCTCCCTTTCTGACTCATTTCACTTAACATGATACTTTCCATGTAGTACCACTTGTATGTAAATTTCGTGACTTCATCTTTTCTAACAGCTACATAGTACTCCATTGTGCAAATGGACCAAAATTTCTTTAACCAGTCATCTGTTCTCGGGCACTAAGATTTTTTCCAGATTCTGGCTATTGTAAAGAGAATTTCTTTAGCTATTCGTGGGGTATTATTGTTCCTTATAAATTTCAGGAGTGTTCGCTTTATTTCTTTGAAAAATGTCATGGGTATCCTAATAGGGGTCGCATTGAATTTGTACAATGCTTTGGGAAGTATTGCCATTTTGACAATGTTAATTCTCCCCATCCATGAACAGGGGATGTCTTTCCATTTCCTCGTGTCCTCTTTTAGTTCCTGAAGTAGCGTTTTGTAGTTTTCTTTGTATAATTCCTTTACTTCCCTAATTAATTAAGCTGACTCCTAGGTACTTTATTTTCTGGGACACAATTGTGAACGGGATTGTTATCTTCACGTCACTTTCTCCCTTTCAATATTTGCGTATAGGAAAGCCATGGACTTTTG